CAAGCAGATGATGCTGAAATGTTCATTTATTGCTGTTCCAATGACACAAAGATGACTGATGATAATAAGCACATTTCCCCAAAATGGACTATATAATATATAATAAACCCATTGTAAGGAAAGGCATGAAATATGAGACCATGTGGTGTTAATTTAAAAACTTACACGATTATTGAAATAGAAATGGATGTAGTTGGAGACGATCTAAGACAGTTTGTTTGAGCAGCAGGCAGCAGAGCTACTAAATGTCATATCACCCTCTTTATTTTCACATCAAGACACCACAGGATGAGTGGCTCTACTGCAGATACCTGCCAGGTTCATATTAATTAAACATGTCAGCTATAAAGTTAGGGCCCAAACTTTCTCAGTGATTTATCTGAAGTAAGTTTAAAAAAAAATTAAATATCTTACTGGAAGTCTGTGCAGTGAGCTAAGAATCAGAGTGATATGCTCTTTAATAAAAATATAGTTGCAGTAGTCAACCAAAAGATAAATCAGTAAATCAGCTGTTCTTTTTTTAAAAAAAGAAGCTGATTCGGTTACAGCCTTAAATATAGATGCCATCTGCATTGTGGAACTTCACATGGTAAATAATCCCCACCTTCTAAGTTTTATTTAACAATCTGAGAATGGTTCCCGTAAGACTCCAATAATGCCAGTGTCTGTATTCAGGCAGATATAATATAATATATAATATAACCCCTTTAATAAGATCACTGTCTTCACAGTGATGAAAGCTTGATTGGAAAACAGCATAGTTGCAATTAATATTCAAATAGTAACTATTTTGATTTTAAAAGTTCTTTCGCAATAATCGTACCAATTATGGAAAATTTCCAATCCATAATAATTATATTATATTATATTATATTATATTATATTATATTATATTATATTATATTATATTATATTATATTATATTATTCAAGAGGGATTTGACAACGGGAAGTTTTAGTGATGCAAACACAGCACATTGTGTGTGCTGCTACTGATTTTAATTAAATTAATACTTGGGCAAGTTTTGAAGATACAGAAGACCAAAAACAACAATAAAAAGAATAATGAAAATCAAACAGATTGAATAACCAACCCAAGTGAACCAATCATTCTGACGTCTGTTGTGAGAGGAATGGTTCTCCTGCATCACAGTTAACAGCAATAGTCCAAGACAGGCAACGTAGCCCCACGTGTTTCTTTCCTCTGAAAACTGGGAATCATCTCTGAGAGACATCAGTAAGTTAATGGGGTCCAAGAAAAACCTCCTCAATGCTCTTAAGAGGTTAGTAGTGACCCGATATGTATGTAGTGGATCATACTCTGTCCCTTGATGTTCAGATGTCTCATAATGCTGTGTGATATAGACTCGGTCTATTCTCTGTGAAGTTCGCCGTCCCACATTCTGCTCCCAGACTCTGATTATAATCCGAGCCCTGTTGCCATACTCATGCTCTGATTGAGGGTGAGTGACATAATGTGGAAGTCGCAACGATCCTTGTTGACGGACATTCCCAAGACTGTAGTATTGATGTCCCCTCGGCAGTGGGTCTAACAGCTGTTCATCGTTGTGATATCGATGTGAGCCATAATCATAACCAGTTGGCTCGAAGGTCAGACTTATGTCACCATTTATGTCAATGTCAATTTCACTGGCAAACCAGCGGAGCAACCAAACGCCCTGCTCAGGCACAGACTGGCCAAAGCCTACTGACCTCAGATCAGTGATTGAGTTGAGCTTTTGTCTTACAGCTGACACAGAGCTGAAGGTCAGGAGGAGAGCCACACAGCAGCTCATCATTCTTCCAAACATCTTCATCCTGTAGAGATTTAAGAAGTCACTGTTTTTATTGTTCATGCATACTTTATATTCTGACATTCATTACATGATTTGTTTTGACCAAGTGAAGCGTCAAATGATTATGTGATGACTGCATATTGTGATTAATAGAATATTCATGATTAAGACAGCTTTAAATGTATTCCTAGTTTATAATTTGATAGTCATTCAGCCACACAAACAATGAAACAGGTTTTACTTGTTTTTCTTCTCTCTGGTTAATACCATCGATTATGGGTTGGAGTTGCTTACTTTTAATTAAGAGATTGTTAAGAGAGGCTTGTTAGTGAGAAAAGTTGTTTTCTCAAACAGCTTTAACTTTGTGACATAAAGAGAGAAAATCACACTAATAACTTGTATTTGTAACTTGATTTGTTGGCTGAAGCCTCCTGTCAGCTTCAGATAAATAACAGGGAAGGATCGCTCAACACTTAGTTTACAGAGGATTAATTAAACAAGGCAAACTAAATAATTCTTTAACAAAGAAGTGAAGCATATTTTACAGCCATTAGCAAACATCCTTTTATTTTCATTTTTATTCATTACACTTCTTTTAAACCAGAATTTTATTTGTCAGGTGTGGTTCAGAAACGAGTCCAGTATCTAAAGTAATGCGTGCGACACGACAACAAACAGGTTTCATGATACTCACCTCTCCCTGTGTCAGAAAGTTAAACTGATTACGTTTGTCAAAACTGTAATATTGCAGACTTATTGATCATTTTTCATGTAAATGAGTTTGCTTGTAATTTAAGAGAAGGCGGACTAAGTGCAGTGTAATCCACTCCATGTTAAACCCACTTCATTGTATCTTTAAATGTAAAATAAATGCTGCATTAGAGATGAGGGTAATCAGTAATCTGAGTGAAAGTAAGCAAAAATGAATCCACCAGGAAATGAGAGAACTTACCTGTGTAAGTCTGCTGCTGTTGTTTGTGTGAGGACAGTCGTAGCTCCTTTTATGTTTTGCTTTTCTTGTAAATGAAACCAGAGAAACAAGCTCTGCTAGTCGTGAAGAGGAAGTTTGATATTCCAAATATTTGGATGAGGCTATTAAAGAGCAACACCATTATGGATTTAAGGGTTTCTAGCTTAACAGTCACGTAAAAGACCATTTTATGTCCAAAGTTTCAATATGGACATGTCTGCCTGACTGTAGGGTGAGAGGTGTATTAGAATAATTCAGCCTTCTAGAGATCGTGTCAGCAGGGTTGATTAAACTTTATTTGCCTCCAGCAGCAGGCTCACTGAGTCTATTTGTTTTAAGAAATGCGTGAGACAGTTAATACTTTAAAAAAAAATTTAAGGACTTACAGTGTTTCTCTACTATGTTATATTAATCCACCTTTAACACTGTGTAGCCGGTCTGGCCTGAAACTCCGATTGCCGTGTTCTCTGCGTTGTGCTGTGCGAATGACCAGAGGAGTCAACTTTCACTTTGGCAGCTGGGGCGGATTTATTCTCCCATAACTCTCCTCAGCCGGGCGTCCAAGCGACTGTTCAAAATAAAAATAAATCTGTACAGCAACTTCATCTTACTGGGCTTCTGCATGCACACCTCTGCTCAGCGGGGCCTCTAGGCGACTGAGGTGCAACACAATAACAAATATTGTCGTCAAATTGATCTACTAAAATACTCGAACACATCTTTAAACATATATAAGAAATTAAAATGCACTGAATTGTAACATTTCCTCATCAACAACAAAATTAAGCTCTAGGGAGACCCTATTTACCAGTGGCAATTTTACATATTTTTTAGTTACATATGGTTAACAATAAGTTCAAGCAATGAACATGAATTACAAACAACTAAAAGATATAACCAGTAACCAGTGACACAAAAATAAAAGAGGGAGCTCACATACCTGCTCAACAGAAAAATAAATTAGTACAGCAACTTCATTTTACTGGGCTTCTGCACGCACACCTTCAAGGGAGAGAAAAGAATAGCGGACCACATGAGAAGCCACCTGCATGCTCCTGTGCCCTAACCTGAGATCGGCTAATTAGCATGTTGCAATAAAGTGCTGTACTCAACAGAGAAAGAACAATTCACACTAAAACATCTGACAAAACTGTGAGACAAAATGCATCAAAGGTCAAAGGTCACACAAACAAAATAAAAGCTCCCAAAAAATAAATATATATAAATAAACACATATTCATAACCAAAACTTACAAAGCAAAATAACACTACAGGATGGATTTTTGGTGAAATATAAATTATTTTTTTAATACACCTGTTACAACTGCACCATGACACCATAAGGGAGGAGAAGTTTGTTTTCCAGGTGTTTGCTCTTTTCAAACTTACTGGGAAAACTTATCAAAGTTCTCAGACCTCAGGGTGTCACAACGCACGGCATCTGAAACTGCCAACATAATGTTACAGGATTAAACCTCTTCTAACTATAAGCTTTACAACATTCCTCGTGAAGCATCTCCAAGCTGTAAAGCTTTACAGTCGCTGTAGATCAGGGGTGTCAAACATAAAGCCCAGCTAGGATGGGGTGTCTGGTGATCCCCTCAACTACTTTCCAGAGTATCTTCTAATAAAGGATGTAAGGAAGGAAACTTTGAAGCAATTTTACTTCCGTGCTGATTAAAATTGTGGATGTCTGGCTGAAAGTGATGCTCGGTGATGAATCTGCACAAGTCAAGCAGATGATGCTGAAACTTTCATCCAGTGCTGTTCTAATAACACAAAGATGACTGAAGATAACAAGCACATTTCTCTAAAACACACATGAGACGAGGCTGCATGTGAAGTACAGGAACAGAGGAAACGGGGGTCACCACCTCAACAGCAAACACACAGGGCTAGTCTGCACTCAGATTTTGGACACT